GGGTCTTGAGGGCACTGGGAAGGGTGGAGTGTGGGGGTGGCTCCTTCCTCTTTCCATTAACGGCAGTCTCTTCAGCCAGGCCACCTGTTCAACCTGCTCTACACAAGTTCCCTGCATGCCCCTCTTTCCCTTTTCCTCCCAGGGAGAAAGTATTTCTGTCACTTCCTCTTTTGGCCCAGACCCAGCCTGACTAACACCAATAATAAACTTTTCATAGATGAGCATTTCATAGGTTGGGCTTTTGAAGTGAAACCTCACTTCTGCCAGTTATCAGTGGTTTCAAGTCCTGGGTTTGCTGGGACAAAAGAGAACTGGGCCGCGTTCTGTTAATCTAACTGCTCCTCAGAGATGGAGCCAGTCCTCTGTAGCCCCCAGCATTTCTCCTTGGAGAGGGGACCGGAGAGAGAGGCTTAGATTGTCACATGAGAGGAATCACCTGAGGGGTGTGCCTTCCTCCTCATGAGTTAGGATTTCCAAAGCCACAATTTGACTTTTCCACTGGGAAGAACTTGGGATAAGGATCTCAGGACATAGACATGGAGCAACAAATGCTTTTGGAGTTCAGTACAATTGCTCATTCAATGCTGGGATGCTGAGCCTGTTTCTGTCTGAACACATCCTGTCTTGATCCTGGGGGCTGGGGAAGGGGAAGATGCTGCAAGGAAACCGGTTAGTCAATGTTGTCTTAATATTGTTGACAATTCTGTAAAGTTCCTTTTTTATGACTATTTCTGTTTAAGCTATTTCACCTTTTGTTTTGAAATTCTTCCCTTTTAAGGAGAAAATGTGACATTGTGAAAATGCTTGTAAGAAAGCCCCTTCTCCCCCTTTTTCTTTTAATGGCAAATCTAGGTGATTAAGGTTGTGAATTTTTATCTTCGCTTTGTTTTTAATGAGCATTTGTCTTTCAGAATAGGATTGTGTGATAATGTTTAAATGGCAAAAACAAAACATGATTTTGTGCAATTGACAAAGCTACTACAAGAAAAAAGAAAAATAAAACATTTCTTAGTACCACAGGAAAAAAAATGTATTAATTAAATTACTGCCTGGCCCATTATATCTAGCCTCTTCTTGGCTAACTCTCACATCTTGATCTAACCCATTTCTATTCATCTGTATTCACCATGAGGTCGTGGCTTACCTGGAAAGATCCTAACCAGCGTCTGTCTCAGACTGGAGTTTCATGACGTCTGCCACACTGCCCTTCTTCCCAGCATTTCGTTCTGTCTACTCCGCCTACCTGATTTCTGCCCTATCAAAAGGCCAAGGCAGTTTTTTTATTCACCAAGGAAAGCAGCACAAATACTGAAGAACCTCCTACACCAACTGTGTTTATTCTACAGATCCCTGTGCCCTAACATTGAGTGCTGCTGTAATATTTGACCCAAATGTAACACTGCAAATGGAAGGAAAGGCAAGAGTTCACGGTGAAAGCAGGGATGAAAGAGAAATTGATGTAAAAATCTCTAGGATAGCTTCCCCAGAGTTCTGCCTACCTTTCCACTAATAACATCAGAAAAAGTATCTGGCTCCAAGTACCCTAAGGTTGTCAAGGACTGTACATGGGAGCCTCTACATATGGCTGATTTAAAGGAAATTAAATAAGCAATTGTAGCTTCTGGACTACATTCATCCTTTGTTAGGGAAATGGTCAGAATGTGGGCTTTCAGTAGCAAAGCCACACCTCAAAATTGGTCACAGTTAATCTCAACAGTCCGAGAAAGTGGACTGCAATGATTTTAGAGGTGCTTTTTTAAAGAGGGTGCAAGAATTTTAGAGCTACATGAAAAAGCAAAAGGACTTGAGATTTCCCTAGATCCTCAGGATCAAGCTCTTTATGATGATCACACCTTGTCCCTATGTAGCACATCAGCTTAAAGTCTTGGGCAGTATTCAGGAACAAAGAAAGAAAGTTAAATAATATCTTAGGGTTAAACAGGGTCAGAGAGAACCTTTTAGTGACTTTTGCAAAGACTAACTAGGGCTATACAAATAGGGGTAACTGACCCAGAATCTAGATGTATAATAATTGAATCTTTGGCTTATGAGAATGCCAACATTGAGTGCAAAAGGATACTTGGGCTTTTAAAGATCAGATCAGCACACATGGATTAATGGGTCTTACATACAATGAATGCCAAGACACTTGACTATGGTACTAAAGCTTGGGTAGAAAAAGCAATTTCCAATGGTAAGAAAAGACATCAAAATACAAAATGTTTTAATTGTGGTAGAATGTGACATCTGAGAAGGGATTGTAGACAGTGGATTCCTAGAAATAATGTCTCCTGTGGGAGTGGCAGAAATGGGAGGACTCAGCCTTCAGGTATATATAGGAGATATGGCAAAGGCTGACATTGGGCCAATGAATTCAGGTCAATGAAAAATATAAAAGGCAACCCAATACCATCAGGAAATGCCATGGGGGGCTTCTCACAGGCCCCCATGATGAATGTGATCCAGTCATTTCCAGTTACTGTGGAGAATGTGTCTCACAGAAAAATTAAAATATCCGATGTCTGATGTAAAAAGCAGTACTGATCTGAATGATGGGTTAAATGTGGAGGATGAGTAAAAAACTCCAGTAGGACAGAGGAAATGTATATTCTGGCAGACTTCTATAAATGATCAAAGACCAAAGCTAAGAGTGTGTATAAATAGCATTTTTATTGAAGGCTTACTAGACATGGGTATGGCTGTAAGTATCATTACTCCAGAATCTTGGCATCTGAGTTGGCCTCTTCAAGAGGTAGATGTTCAGTTCCTGGATATTGGAACCCTATCTGGGGTAAAACAAAGCACAAGATGGGTTGAATTAATAGGGTCAGCAGGGCAAATAGAAAGACTAGGGCCATATATATCCATTATATTATAATCATTTATAAGAGTCAAGTTTGTAGTCATGTTAGTAAGATTTTCTAGATATATAGAAGTACATTTCAGGTAGATAGGCATTCTTCATATCTTTCAAAGACTACAGAATATGGCATTAAATATTTTAAAAATTTAGGACTTTTCATGACAGTGAGATATATCTGCCCCTGGCAGCAACAAGGTACTTTGAGAGGAAGATGGGCAATGAAGAGCCTCATTAGCCATTGAGGCAAGAAACTGCTCTTGCCTGGACTGCTTCACTGGACATGCAGAACCCACAGAGAAATGACTGATGAACTTGCCTAAAGGTAAGATGATCCTTCGGGCTTCCTGCTTCATGGAAGAGTGTGCAAGACATTCTGCAGGACACAGAAGAAAGTGACTGGACTGTCTTTGAAATTTCCAGCTTCACGGAAAAGTCTGATGGATATTGTGGGCCTGTAGGCTGAAGATGGAAGGCCCCATAGTACAGATGAACTTTGGGTAAATGTTCAGGCAGCAAGATGTGTCTGTCAATTCTAGAGTTTTGGAAGTTGTTCATAATGTACTTCCTGTTTACTTAGGTAATATTATATCCTTCTGGAATCTTTGATGGAGTTGAAAAATTTATAGTTATAGTTTTCCTTAGTTATGATAAAAGATAAAGTAGATATAAATATTGTAACTGTAATTTTTGCTTGTTAACTCTTTTGTTATATGTAATTTTACTATGTTAAAGCCTTCCTTTTTGTTTAAACAGAAAAGGGGAAATGGTGTAAGAGTTCCTTCTGTTTGTGTTTTGCTTTCATTGATTAATGAATAAAGAAATTGCCTTGGCCTAGTTGATAGGGTGGAACTTAGATAGGCGGAGAAAACAGAACTGAATGCTGGGAGGAAGAAGGGCAGAGTCAGAGAAGACATGGATCCTCCACCAGAGATGGATGCTGGTTGGAATGTCCAGTAAGTCACTGCCACGTGGTGATACACAAATTAATAGAGATGGGTTAAACTAATATGTAAGAGTTAGCCAATAAGAAGTTAGAGCTAATGGCCAAGTAGTGTTTTAATTAATACAGTTTGTGTGTGATTATTTCGGGTATAAGCTAGCGGGGTGTCTCCGGGATAAACAAGCGGCCCTCTCCCTTGCAACAGGTGTCTATCTGAGCAGGTGACTTGGTTTTAAAAGGCAATAACCTATGATTTCTGTATCAGAATCTTAGGAACATTCTCAAGCCAGTGACAATGTGCACTTGGTACGGGAGAGGTTGAAGGCTGGATGAAAGGGATGGCCTTGTTTTTGTTCTTAGCAGAGAAAGGAGGTCCATAGAAGTCAGAGAGACAGAGAAGTGCAGGAAAAGAGGCAGGACAGTGAGCATGTGTGGGTCCCAGGCCTGACAGTCCTACTTTACTGAGCCATGTCAGCACCTTACTTCATTTGGGTGCTGTTCAGGTTCTTCCTGTGCTTTCTGGCAGGGATACAGCATTAGATCTCTATCCTCTTGCTTGGGAAGACAAGGTGTATTTCAGAGTGTTCCCACAGCCAAAGAGAACAGATGCACCAGATAGGATGTGTAGGTACAAGGACCTGAGATCCCTCTATTACACTTTGGCTACCACCATCTGTTTATTCACCAACCCAGACATGACCACAAGAGCAGGGGAGCCCTTCACACCTGAGCAATGGCTCCATCTTTTTGTCAGACTTCTATTCTGAGTCCAAGGCAGTCAGATGGCTCCAGTCCTGCATCCCAAACAATCTCCAAATGGGAGGTTTGCAGCCCTGACCTGAGATGAAGGGGAGCTAGACCTGGGCCTGGGAAGGACAGATAAGGAATTGTCTGCCCTGTGCTTCCCTGAGGCTGTGACTGTCAGGTAGATGGAGACCAAAGCCACACTTATTCCAGTACCTGTGGAATGGAGGCATGATGAAGAGGTGGAAAGGAGTCAGACAGAAGGACCCTCGCCTGCTTGGACCAGTCTGTGATCCAGCAGTGCGATCCCAATGGAAGAGTCCCTGGAAGGTGAATTGGTCTGCAGACCCTGGGAGGAAACCCATAGACATTCAGAGTCAAGCCAGCCTGAGGTTCCTCACCCCTCCCCCATCCCTGCCACACTCCACCGGAAGCACTAGACACGCCTCTAACGTCCAATTCCTGATGTAGACAGGAATATGGTCACGGAGTCCTCGCCAGTGGCTGTTCAGCACACATGGCCTTCAGCATCTGGAAGACGTGGAGCGGAGCCACATCAGATTCGGCAAGTCCACCATGATCCTGGGAAAACAAAGGCCATGCTTAGTGAAACCTGAGAGCCTCATGGCACACCAGCTCCATGAGCTGGGCCAACTGGGTTACCGAACTGAAATCCCGTAAAGAGACTCGGGAGTTTTCAGAACAGCAGATGGGGGCCAGAGTGTGAGCTCAAACCCTGACCCTCGCCTTCTCACTTGAACACATCGGTGTCGAAGACAGCACCAGCAGCCAGTTCCGCCTCGCATAGCTCCTCTGTTCCCAGCACCTTCTTCGGCTAAAGGGCCAGCTTCTGTAGTGTCGCTGACTCCAGTCCTGTGGCTGTCCAGAGTCCAACCTCACAGACTGCGACTGTTCCTGCAGCCTGAATAAAGGTGAGGGATGGGCCCAAGCTGCACAGCGCCTCCTACCGTCCACTTGTTTCCATGCAGGGTCCCTGCAGGTCCCACACAGGCAGTTCCACCATGAGGGCAAGGTCCAGAAGGACGTTTTATAGTTGATCAATTGGGTGGTACTGAGCGCTTAGTGTGCACAGGGCAGTGTGATAGGCGTGGGGATAGTGTGGTGAAAGCGGCACTCAGAGAACCGTGCCTGGCATTCTGGGTTCTTAGTACATGCCTGTTGGATGAGGGGTTTCATGATTGCATGTAGTTATCTCCTCTGCCGAGGGTCCCTAAACAACTTTTGCTTTTATGCGCAGACACATCACTTGGCCCTGGGATGCATAAATTTAGGCCTAAAGGGGAGCTGACCTCATCATTGCACGCAAGTGCCATTGTGGCCAACTGCTCTTGATTCCTATGCTCAGTGGGGTTTTATATTGCACATGCGCATTTCCCTGGTGATAGAGCGATTTTTCCCACTAGGCAGGGGGTGTGGCATGATGACACAGTTTGATGATGTAATTTCCAGGTAGTGTGGCTGGCTGGATAGTGGCACCTGTTTGTGCATATGGGTGGAAACACATAATGATCAGAGGTGAACTCGGCAAGTCACTGAGTTTGTGCTTGTACAAGTATGATTTGGTGTACATGGGTTTGAGTGTAGGGTATGTGCTTGAAAGTATAATAGAGTGGTGTGTGCCTTTAATCATTTGACACAGAATGACTACAGACATGTAACATTGCCATGTATACACACAATCACACAGTCATACCTTTACACATTCTTCATACATCATTGCACATACTTACATACTCTGTGATAGTTGGTTTTTGTCAGCTTAACGCAAACCTAGACTTTAACTGAGAAAAAGAAATCTCAGTGGAGGAGCTGTCTCTGTCAGTTTGGACTGTGGGCACATCTGTGAGCCATTTTCTTAGTTACTGTCAGAGAAGGAGGAACCAACCCACTGTGCACGGTGCTGTTCTAAGCACATGGGCCTGGTCCATGTAAGAAAGGTAGCTGAGCACACCAGGAGAAGCGAGCCAGAGGAAGCAAACCAGTGATCTCCTTTACTCCATGGTTTCTGCTTCCAGGTCCTGCTTTGTGTTCCTCCCTTGGCTTCCCTCACTGGCGGATTAACCTGTGAGCTGAAACACACATTTCCTTCCCAAGTTGCTTTGGTTATGATGTCTATCACTGCAACAAAATGTGAATTGGTCATGATGCTACTCTTACACATTACAAAACACACACTCAATGTACATACTGCTGCTGACACTCGTGTGAACTCAGCCACTCTTGCATACTCTTCTCTCAAGCACAGCACACTTCATTCTGGGCTCACAAACACACATTCTTGCACGGGGTCACAAACTCCTTACATTTTGCACAGCTACTGCACTGACAATTTCACTCGGCATACTTATGTACTTGTCCATTGTACACTGTCACTTCTATGCATTATTTCACTAACACACACACAGGCAATGTGCGCGCGCGCACACACACACACACACACACACACACAAACACACACCACTCTATTACACCTCCAAGCACATACTCAGAGAAAGAAAATTCTATACTCAAATCCTTGTACATCAAATCATATTCCCCTCAGGCCTCAGAGATCTCTGCAGAAGAGGAGGCAGAAAGAGTCTAAGAGCCAGAGGGGATGGAGGACACTAGGAAATAACAGAGTCTTCTGTACACAGCAGAACCAGTGCACATACGAACCCATAGAGACTGTGGCATCAAGCAAAGGGCCTGCACGGGTCAGGGCCAGATGGGGTCCCAGGGCTGTGTGTGAGTGACTGCATCTACATGTGTTTCTTGTGCTTTTTCTTCTCCTTGTGTGTTTTGTCCTGTTGGTTTGTTGGTTTGTACTGCATCTTATTTTGTCTTACTGTATTATTATTTTAGATGCCTGTTTGTAGTGTTATGAGAGAAACACAGGGTGTGGATTTGGGTGGGATGAGAGGACACATGGGACTTCTCCCCATCAGCGTTGTACAGAATGGCACTGATTCCATCCAGAGTTCTTGTCTCAGACTGAGCCTTTAAATCTCATCAGCACCGAAATCTCACAGAATTTTGGCCAAATTGCTGTGAGGCGGAGTTTCTGGCTGGACCCAAACAAAGTAAGTGTGAGCCACTGCTTGTGCTGCTTTCCTTGGCAAGGTCACTACTACGTTTAGATTCACAAAATTTCTGAGGGGAACAATAAACAGCAAAGGGTGGCAAAACCCCCAAAACTCTGTGCTATAAGAATTCCAATTTATTCCCTTTTACTTTTCAGAACTTTATTGATATCATAAAATATAAAATGAGATATTCTCACCAGTGACCTATAAATTTTTTAAGTTAGTCTGTGGTCTGATAATTTTCCTTATGAGGACTGATCTAAAAATACCTTGACTATAGACAGTACCTTCCTCATTTTCTAGGTTAGACCTACTGTTGGCTTAATTAACATTATGAGCTCCTACCAGGCTACAGAGATCCACAAATTCCCCACTGAGCTATTCCTATATTCTAGAAAAAATAGAAACAGAAATGGATAAGATAAATAAGTTTATATTTTTTCAGAACATAAATATTAAAAATTTTTAGATTCTTTCAAAGAACATATCAAATCCACTATACATGTCTGTGTATGCGTTGTGTGTTGTGTATAATTTTAAAGAAAACTTGGTTTTAGAAAAGATATAAGAACTGAGATGTGTGAACTTTTAAGAGAGCCACTTAAGTAGTAGTGAGCTACACCCACTTGTCAGCTTATTAGCTGTAGCATAAGAAATGGTAAATTCTCAAAATCTATTTCATTCCACTAATATCAGCTTAAGAAACAAAGCCATGATTTCTTCCTTTAGCAATCCCTTCTGTGTTTGCTCCGTCTTCATTCCTCATTCCAGGATATGATAAGATAGGAGGAATTCTGGACTGGACAGGAAACTAACACCCAAGCCTCACAGACAAGCAACTAACTGGCCATTCTTCTATGGTGTACTGTAGCATGATTAATAAAAACCCAGTGACAGATATTAGAGAAAGGGGTTCAACCTAAAAGTCAGCAAAGCAAAACAGCCAGCCATTGTCTCTTACCCCTGTCTTTGTCCAAAATGGCAATCAGAATGAGACTGTGTGTGAAAGCTGTCCCCTTCCATCTTACGTTCCTCTCTAAAGCTGGGATTAAAGGTGTGCACAACTACCACCTGGTTTCTATAGCAAACTAGTGTGGCTCCTGGGCTTAAACGTGTGTGTCACCACTGCCTCTTCTGTAAGGCTGACTAGGGTGGCTGTTTTACTCTCTGATCTTCAGGTAGGCCTCATTTATAAAATATAAATGATTTACAGTGTACAGTATTTAGGTCTTGGGCATTTTTTCAGTGGTCATTCATGTCCCCAATGTCTTTATAGTGCTTGCCTAAGAAGCATTTGACAGGATGAGAGATTTCAAAATTTAAGAACAGGGAAATCCAGCTTTAATAATAATGGACCTAAGGGATCTCACAAAGTTACTATGTTTGATCTCTTCTCAACGCCATCAGTACACCTAGGAATCCAGGGCATCTGTGACACCCCAGACACCTCATTGTCTAGGGTCATCAGAACCCAAGAAGCTGCCCACCAGTGAAAGGGAATGTCTGCCCACTAGCAGTAGTTCCTCGGGCCCATATGAGCAAATTTCACATTCGACTAGCGATTATCCTTTCTATATATCACCTGCTATACAAGAAGGAAAAAGAAGATGAAGAGGAAAAAGAGAATTTATCCACTATGTGACAGGCTTTATAAGAATGATTTCAAGAATGTGTTCAGTGAGGCTCAGAGTCTGCTGTCCTCTTTGGGGGCTGATGAGAATAATATAGCTGGACGATTGGCCCTGGGTAGATTTGGAATCAAAGCTCTAAGTAAATGATCCCCTAGAACACTCTGGATGGTGTTAAATAGTGTAGTTGGTTGTTTTTTCAGTTTTTACTCTTTTGGGAATCCACCACTCAGCTCCCAAATGAATACACACGGAAGCTTATTATTACTCATTATCTCCACCCCCCCCCGTCAGGTTTATCTTGGATTATTTCTAGCCATCTTTTCTTAACCTACCAATCAGGCATTTTCAATAGGGAAAGTAACACAGCTTCACAGAGTTAAACAAATCCAATATGAAAGAATGCAGCACATCTTTGTATCATTAAACAAATGTGCCACAGCATAAACAAACGTAGCATACCTTAAATTAATACTCGACAACAAGATAGAGTGATAAGTCTTTAAATGTAATGATGGAAGGAAATAATAAATCAGCAGAGATGGAGAACTAAGACTAGAATCCATGTTCCATTAAGGAAAAGGTCACTAGAATCATTGTCTTAAATATCTCTCCCCTTTAAATGCCTGGGTTGAAATATAACCCAATAGAGACTTTATCTGAAATCAGAGTCATTTACATGGAAAAATCTTGAATGGTTAGATGGGTGATCTTACAAAAATATCATTGGAGTTCCTGCTCTTGTTTCCTGTGTCAACAGTGAGAAGATACCATTTGTGAGCCAGTGTGGGCCCCCAACAGACTCTGGATCTTCTCGAATTTCCATTTGGTACTTAGCAGGCTCTATAATTATAAAATTTAGTACCTTTGATTTGTAAGCTTAGAATCTTCGAGTGAAACAAAGGAAGTTGGCTACACCAACAAAAACATAGACAATTGATGGTCTCATAATAAAAAATCCCAAAAAAGACACAAATTAACATCACCATCAATGATAACTAAATTAACAGGAGATAGCAATCACTGGTCATTAATATTTCTTAATATAAATGGACTCAACTATAAAAAGGCACAAGGTAACAGATTGGATATGAAAAGAGAATCCATCCTTCTTCTGCATACAAGAAACACACCTCAAAGACAGACATCGTCTCAGAGTAAAGGATTGGGAAAAAATATACCAATCAAATGAACCTAAGAAACAAGCGGGTGTAGCTA